CTCCACCTTCAGAACTGGGTAGATTACATCCTCTTCCAACCCGTAACCCCTGGCAACACTGAAAACCACTATTTTCCATCACGATGGTTTTGCCATTCTGAGAAGCCCCTTTCCTTTTGCTACCCACTTTGCTTTATTTCTTCAAGAGGTCCCTGCCTGTTTATGTGTGAACACAAGAACTCCAAACCCAATGCCGGCACTTTCTTCTCTCTTGTTGCTGTATTGTTATTTACTGTCGGTAACATTTATTAGCACCTACTATGTACCAGGTACTAGACTAAGCTTTTCACAAACACTATCTCATTTTAATCTCACAATGGCCTTATGATATACGGATTTGGGGAACCGGTTCTTATTGATTCTTACACAAATATGGAAACTGGGTGTCAGGGAGGTTAGTGACTTGCCTGGGGCCTCCTAGCTAACAAAGAATTGAATCCCAGCACAAACCCAGCTCCATTTGACTGCAGTCCTTAAACACTTCAGCCATCAATAAAAGGAAGGGGATTGTAACGAGAAAGGAGGTACATCGAGAGAGGTTTGGGGCCATGTGGTTTTTTTTAAAGTTTGTACGTGTGAGTGGAGCTGGAGAACCATCTGGATGTCCCGACTTCTCAACCTCGGCTCCCTTCTTTATGCCTTCCTCCACTTGCCACATACAGTCCGCGGTGACCCAGTGGCATCTGCCTGCTGTTTCCAGGGGCTTGGGATGGTTTTAGTCCCCTTGGAAATTTAGCAGTAACCACCATCTGTGTCACAGCTCTGCAGTGGGACACAGTAGCTGGGACCAAGGAAAGGGGCTGGATGCCTTCTGATTTGTGCCCAGCCTCAATTCTCTTGTGTGTCTTCTGACCTCATTTTTTTCCCCCTGGGCTGCTTGCAACACCAGCTGAAAAAGTTTCTAGGACACAGGCACCTGGTCTGTGTGCTGGAGGTGGCAGGTGCATTCTTGCTGAGGTAGGGCGAGAGGGACAGGAATGTATGTGGTTGGCGTGATGCTTAACAAAGACTTCGGAGAGTCCCAGGGCAGCCACAGTTGTGTTGGGGAGAGTGAGATGCAGGGGAAAGGGGAGACAGACGTTAATGGGGAATCAGAGATGCTGGGGAAGTGGACTGGGTTCTTGCCTTGCATCTGCTGAGCCCCGCTGAGCTTGCCATTTGGGGAAGTGAAGCTGGTTGGCAAATTCGCTCCTAGAATCAACTCCTAGCTCCTTAAGGGTCTCAGAAGTGAGCTGCTGAGGCAGTGCATACTGGAGGAAGCACACCCCTGAATCACGGCCACGGGGCATTTGGAGACAAACAAAACAAGCCCCAAATCAACATACCGTGGACCATCTCTGGATGACACTCGGTTAACAAGGTGTGAGAGATGGTGTGCAATTTAGAGTAGAACAGTGTTGAGTTGCTTTAATAACGACAACAGCTGACATTTACTGAGCCAATCGCTGTGCTCAGAAGTCACTGACATGAATCGTCTCACTGATTTCTCCCATCAGCCTGCGGAGGCAGGTCTATTATCATCTCCAGTTTACAGAAGGGGAATTGGAGGCCCTGAGGTCGAAGTGACTCACCAAAGTACACAACGACCGAGGGGCAGGATCAGGACTGGAATTCTGGTATTTTCGAACCTAAGTTCGCCAATTCTTAGCTTCACTGCTTTCCTGTCTGGTCTAATTCAGAAATAGTATAGGGAAACAGAGGGAGGAGGAAAAGACATCAGCCTTTCAGGAGCCCAGAATCTTTTCCAATGTGTGCAGAGATCCCTGGGCTTGGCTGCAGTACGGGAAGGAACAGGAACCAGTGGGATCTGCGCTGCCAGCCCTCTGGGACACGGCCGATCTTATCTGTTGGCTTGAAATCATTGCACGCTGTAGAAACCTACAACCATTTCTCAAGTTTTCTTTTTACACAATCCGCTTGGGAGGGTTGTAGACAGGCAGGCACAATGGATTATTTTTTTCTCTCTTGGGCTGGCACCATGAAGTGTGGCTGTTGGTTTCACCCTAGCATCCTGGTTGGCACAAGAAGTTTCAGGCCTCTTGGAGCCAACAGAAAGATCTCGGTGAGCTTGTTTTGTAGATGAGCCAAGGTGAACAGAACAGGCTTTGGGCTTAAAAAGCTCCTGCACAGGAAGTTAAATGAACTCTTTCAGAGTGCTACCTTGACATCGAGTCCTCTGGAGAGATGTTGTACAAAATGGTAGCCTGTGACAACAGATTATTTATGTCCTCTTTGCGGAGTACTTTACACTTAGTCTTATCCCATCCTGGACTCGTCATAGGTTCAAGTTCAGTAATAATACCTATTACGCTCTCCTGCAAGGGCTGTCACTCCTGCTGTGTTTTGGAGAATGCCTCATGCCCGGCAGGGCACAATCAACAGTCAATAATAATGTTTACCAGGATAATGATCTTCCAAACGCCTTTCATCCAAGGATCTCAAAGTGCTCTGCAAGCACTAATTAGTTAAGCCTCACCATGCTTCTCTGTTTTTATAATACATTTTCCCCATTTTACAGAATTTTAAATTGCAATCCAGCAACCTTAAGTAGCTTGTCAAAAGTCAGACAGCAAGTTTAAATGAATGATAATGATGATGCTTTGTCTTTACAGGACATAGGTTTTCTCAGGCTATCTGAGTATGTTGTAAAGATAATTTTCACACTGCCCTGGAGGAAGGAGGGTAGCAAGTATTATTAAGTGTTGATGGGTGTGGGTAAACTGAGGCTGAGAGGGCAGGTAGCTTGGTGAGGGTCTGGCTGAGGATGCAAGGTCATTCCTCTGCCTCTCAGAACAGGGTGGCCTCCCAGATAATCCTCAACTCTCTGAATCCGAGGGACGCATGATTGCTTTCACACTTACAGGAAAGGTAGCTATATTTTGGGGAGTAGAACAGGCTGCAGAATTACAGCCCTATTTACATCCAAGAATGCTCCGTTCATATTCCCATTGAAAAGGCAAAAGGGATGAGATGAGGCTCTTCGAGAAAGGTAGGCTCAGGAAATGAAGGAAATGGGTAGAGGGTGGGGTGGCTGCGAGCTCTGCCTTCTTGCAGCATCGTCACTAAACCAGGACCTGCCTGAAAGCAGGAACCTTCAGTGGCTTGGTTCTGTATTTCAGCCTCATGACAGGACTCGGTCCAGGACAGCTTGGAGGATGGGCACAACCTCGTCACCAGCACCTTGGTCTGAGGTTACAAGTCCCTGTGAAAGAGTCCCAGGGATGTGCGGTATCTGGCTGTCTCTTCCGACCAACTCTAATTCCTCAACTCCTTATGCTGGGAGGGGCCTGGGAATCCTCTGCAGTTCAAAAAGGAGGGAGTTGTGGAGTCTTCTGTTGCTACCTTTTCTTAGCAACACAGCCACATCAAAAAAAAGATGAAAACATGAACCCAAACAGGCCAAGGTGATAGGAGACATGCCTCCTCCCAGCCTGGCAACACTTTCGGAGTGGGAGTGATTGGCAGTACTCTCGCCTGCAGGGAGGCAGGTCAGTCTTTGCAGGGTGGGGGAGGGGAGAGCTTGCAGGGTCTCAGGAATTCAAAGGGAGATTTGCTGACCCCAGATGAGATAGAGCCCGATTCTTTCTAAATACAGCCTGCCTGAGAACCTGGCTCCCCTACCCTGACCCCACCTTTTCCAGACTTGTGGATTCTGATTGATGACTAGACCTAGGGCTAGCAAGGAGCCTGAAGGAAGGGCGCCAAGCCCTTTTCTGGAATGTGTGCACACACCAGCACAATGGCAATCAAAAGTCTGCAGTAAAGAAATCACAGCAGTGCCCTGTTTCTTCCCACTCTCATCTCAGAATGTCTCCACGCTCCCCTGCTGCAGGGGTGGTGCCTTGAAGGTGCAGGGAACCCACGGAGGCGTAAGCTGCTGGGAGGAATATTTTAGAACCTTTTTCTGTACGCACACCACAAGCCTCTTCTCCTTCGTTAGGGAAGAAATCCGGGGAAGACCTTCCCACCCTCTGCTACCCTTCACAGCAGGGAGTCGTGAGACTCTGCTGCTGGTGTATTAGCTTCCTGTAGGTGGGAGTACACAGAATGCAGCTCAGACTTTCGAAGAATGCCAACCATCCAGGCCACAGCTCGCCATGTCCAGTTGGACACACTAACTCCAGGGGTGACAGCAAATAATCCTGCTGGAGTCACAAAGACCATGTCCCTCTCTTGAGATGTGCCTTTACCAGGATCCCCACAACGAGACTCACAGCCAGGTTAAAGTCCTAAGATGGGCTTGCAAGGCTGGACAGAGCAATTCCCATTATCCAAACCCCCCAAAGCATTGCTGGGTGATCTCCTGAGAGGCTCGACTGGGTCTGTTTGTTTTTTATTGCAGCCTCCGATGTGCATTTTGTGTGTGTTCTATGCATTTGTTAAAGAACGGCTCCTGGACACCTCTGCTGTACTTTCACAGCCCAGCCTGTCCTGCCAGTCACTCCACCCACATACCCGCTTCCTTCCCGCATGAACTTTGGGCATCAGGTGTCTTTGATAACCTCGAACGATTAAGAACGAGCATTGTCATAATGTTGCTTTATGACTGGAAGTGGAAAGATGGATCTGGGTAAAATACAAGCAAAACCCGACGTTTGGAAACTTCTCAGAGATCTCAAAAGCAGCGAGCGGTTAGATTTGTTTTCTCTCTTTTTCCCACCCTCTGCATTTCCCCTGCTGTGGTTTGGCCTCAGAACAGCAGAAATGAGAGACCAAAAATCTAAGCAAGAAGGCTTTCCTTGACCTACCACTTTCTGGACAAGAAGCAGGGAGAACCTAGGAAGCTGTAACAATGCTAAGAATTCCCGGATGGATTAGAGAGGCTCAGGATTCCACCAAATCCTAGCACAACTATCGCCGCCCACAGAAATCTATCCCCAGGGAATCCTCCGCGGCGCTCTCTGAAATGTAACTAAAAGAAGAGAACCTCTCACGGGCGATGCACACAAACCCAGCCTCCAAGTGGACACGATGATGTGAACAAATCAGATCTTTCTTACCCCATCCATGTGGACTCTGATGTTCGGCACCGGCCGGAAAGGGCTGCACTGCAGACCTCCGGGCTGAGTCCTGCTTTTCCTGCCGTCCTGCGAGGCCAGCACGCCGGGCCTGCGGAAGGAGCCCCGTCTGCCCGAGCCTGGCCCCGAGCGCACCCCGTCCAGGAGACGCACAAGCAGCAGGTTGGCCGGCAGCGCCTCGATGCTGCAAAACACCAGGGTCCGGCATTCGGGGCACCTCAGCTCCTTGTGGGCCTTGAAAATCCTCTGGAGACATGGTTTGCAGAAGGTGTGCTGGCAAGGGAGGACTTTGGCTGTGACATCGAGCTTTTCGAGGCACACGGGGCACTCCAGAAGATCAAGTAACGTCACATCATCCATTTTTATTTTAAAACTCCGGTCCTGACCTGGAGGGGCAGAGTCCACATGGTTGGGTCAGCTGAGCCCAAAGCGGCTGGAGAGTTTCAGAAGGTCTGCCTGCTGGAAGGAGAAAGGGAGAGAGAGGAAAAAACGATGATTGCTCCGAGAAGTGTCTCCCACCTACATCAAGGCATTGTCTCATAAGGCAGTTTGCAAGGACTTTGTTCCAGCTCCCAAGTTTCAGATGACTCATTCTGATTCAGTGCTAGCAGGTATAAGCCTCTGCTCCTGCCTGCTGGCGGGTCTGAGGAAGCAATCAGCACAGCGACCGACTACTTACTCACTGCCTCTCCGTGTGGAAGGCAAGAGCAGGGACACAGAGCTGGCCTGATGAGGAGGCCCAGAAAGCCCTCTCCCCCAGCCAGGGCTCCAAGCAGTCGGGCAGTCGGTCCCTCTCCATTCTCAAATGAAAGGCCCCTCAAGGCGCAATTCCTGTGATGCTCTCTACTCTTTTTTTCTTTTCCCCTTTAAGTTTCTCTCTTATCTGCCTCACATGCAGACAAGTTATGTTTACATAGATAAGTTTACCTGAATCTCCTGCAGTTGTAGAATTAGTTCCTTCATATCTCCCCCCATTACTTTGTTCAAGCAATGTGCAAAAAAAAAAAAGTTCTACTAGAAACTAGTTTTCACAAAGTGTTTTGCCTCAACTACAGGCCATGGGGCTTGGACTTTTTTTCGTTCTTTCTTTTCTTCCTCCCTTCCTCCCTTCTCGCCCTCTCCCTCTCTCTCTCTCTCTCTCCTCCTCTGGCCTCCACACCTTGATTATCTTGGCCTCAGAGACAATATTCTTCCCATAAGATGAAGTCACACAGCCTGTTTAGTTACTTGGACAATTGTTCCCAGTTTCAAGTGAAGCAGGCAGGAATTCTGGACCGTGGTCACAGCTTGCAAAAGCCAAGCTGCATATACAGGTGTGTGTGTGTGTGTGTGTGTCTGTGTGTGTATTCTGAAAACAATTCTTGTTCCAGTTTCTTTTCGGATGTCTGAAGCCTCCCGTTTAGAAAAGCCTCCTCGTTAGAGGTCCCAGTCCCTCCGGGCGCCAGGGCATGGGTGAGCGCAGCAGGCGGAGGTTTGGCACGCGCGCCGGTGGCCCCCCTGGTGAGAAAAGCCAACGCGACACGCGGGGACGAGAGAGGGCGCCTGGCCTTCCCGAGACAACGCTCCAAAGATGTCAGCGCCAGGAGGTGTGCGGGGGCCACTAGCACTAACCTTGCGCTTTCACCCCGGCAGAGTTCAGTTCAGCCCGGTCCGCGGCTCCGGCCAGGCTCCCTCCAGCCGGCGGCTTCCGTTTCCCCAGGAGCTGCCGCTGCGGCTGCTTTGAAAACTTTCCCCACTCGAGTCTTACTCATTTCAGGGATCGCCTTACCCAGCCCTGTTAACCCTTTCACCGCCGGGCGCTTTGCCCCGAGTCCACGCCCTGCTCCTGATCCTCCCTTTGTGTCGCCCGGTCGGTTTCTGGGAAGACATTACACTGGGCAAAATGCAAGCCAGCCCGGAAGGCCCGGTGTTGACAAAGTTTATATTTTCATCATTCTGGTTTTTCTCTCCTGTCGGCGAAGTTGAAACCCGCTGGGTTATAAACCTGCCAAGGTGACTGTGTTTGTTTTGAACTTTTATGAAGATTTCCCAAAAAGGTCAAACATATTCATGGTAGCTAGATAGCAATCCAGCCACATAGAAAGTACTGCTCCTTCAAAAAACTCACAGTCAATCCTTGAGTTTTGAGATTTCAGAGGGACTTTAGTGATCTTTTTGTTCAGTCTTTTTAAATGAAACAAAACGTGTTGTGATGGTACAGACATAGCCTGGAAAAATCAAAGCACAAGAGGGCTTTAAAAGAAAAAAGCAATGTCCCAGTTCCACCCCCACCTCCCTACCCACTGGAGTCTTTTCATAGCCCCAAATAAATGCTTACAATTCTGTTTCTTGATTTAGCGGTAATATATTTCATGTAACACTCCAAAAGTATCCAGTAAAG